TGCCATTAGCGTCACTCAGCTTCCACTTCTGTCACATTTCTCACTCAAACCCCAGTGTTTTGGCAGGCCAGACTGAGCTTTGCATCCCAGCCCTTCTGTCAAGCAAAGATGACATTGTAAAAGGCTCCGTGCTGTACAGTAGCAATCCCATTTACCAAGTCTGCGGGCTGAGACTGAAATCTCTCTTCTTGAGAGGCAGATTTCAGCTGAGCAACTTCCACCCTGCCTGCCTCTCTCTGCCCTTGCAGATAAGCTGGAATTCCACTCTAAAACATTTTCTCTCAGATCTAGTGTTGGGTGAGCACTTGGTTGATTTTTAGAGCCCATCCCAGCTGTTGTGTTCAGACAGGCAGGGTGCACTCTCCAATAGGCTGAGTTCATAGGGAGATGAATAACAAAGAGCGTCAGTGAGCAGAAACAAACGGTGTCTGTGATGGATTCTGTTGTCTTTCACAGGCAAGGAGTTCGATGTCAGAGCCAAGTGTGTTATCAATGCCACGGGACCTTTCACAGACTCGGTGCGCAAAATGGATGATCAGGAGGTGCCCAACATCTGCCAGCCCAGCGCAGGCGTGCACATCGTGATGCCTGGGTACTACAGGTGAGCAGGGGAGCCTGCTGCCCGCGTGGCACCTCTGCCATCCCTGCTGCTGCTGCTGTGTGTGAGCCAGCTGGGAGAGGCGTCCCGCGGGCTCTGCGGCAGCTCCGAGCGCGCAGTTTGAGTCTGATTTTTGTTTGTGTGTTTTAAAGAGGATCCTGGCGCTGTGCCGGCGAGAACGATTTCAGCTATTCACAACAGACTGAAGCCGTGTGGTTTTTAGTTAGAGCTCCCCGAGGCAGGGCTGCTGCTGAAGCAGAAGGCGTTTAGGCAGGTGTGAAAGCACCTGTTTCAGTGATGCCTCCGAGCTGAGTGTGCTGCTGCTTGGTCACCCCCTCAGGGAACCAAGGACCATGTAAAACCTTCCAGAGAGATTGCACCTTCCTACAGTCGCTTGTCCTGTTAAATCATGGAATCACAGCGTGGTCTGGCTTGGAAGGGACTTTAAAGATCATCCTGTTCCAGTGCCTGCCTTCACACGTGAAACTACCTGTGCAGTTTCTCTGCCGGGATGCGGCTCTGCTCAGAGGAAACAGGAGTGCAAAGCACAGAATAAGTGAGGATGGGCAGGGTAATCAGTAATAATAATTGCTGTCACAGGCAGTGGAAGTAGCTCAGAGTAGCACAGCCACATTGCTGTGGCCCCAAGCCCAGCGCCCACCCGTGGGGGTTTTGGTGGACAGGACGTGCCCGCCGTGTTCCAGGAGAGGCTCCCCTGGCACTCTGCTCCCTGCAGCCCCCTGCTCCTCTCCCTGTTTGCTGTGCAAAGCCAGATCCCCTTCTCCCGAGCCAGCCTTGTCAGTCGGAACTCAAATATTACCTTTGGTTCCTGAAGTCATTAGCATCCTAATGGAAATTCCCCTTTATGGACTTAGCCCAGTTGTGTTGATACAGTGCCCTTGCAGTAATGCCTTGCACAGCCCTGCTCAGAGGGGGAATTCAGCCTCCCAGTGCACCAGGGGGTGTTTCTGCCAGAGCTGTCCCAACAGGACACCACCACACACTGTACAATTGAGGCATTTTTGGCCTCGTGTAAAATCACCCCTGCATTCTCTTCTGGTTTTTTTTGGGTTTTTGTCATTTTTGTATCTTTCTCCATGAAAAATGGTAAAATGACCTGATAGCTGCTTTAAAGTACTAAAAATGTGGAGAAATGGGCTGTAATCCCAGTTTCCTCATATGCCAGGAGAAGGATGTGTGTGATTAGCTTTATGGCCCTACACAAAAACATGGAAAGCCTTAGAACCTGGGCTCACGTAGCAAATTCAAAGTAGAAGATGGCTGGATACACTTGAGAGCTCTTGATTTATTTATTCTCTAATAACCCAATAATTTTAATTGGAAATGTGGAGAATTCCTGTTCTCCATGTTCCCCGGTGTATGCCAGCATGTGGGCATTATTTTCCTTGGAAAATAGTATCTGCCCACACACTGCCTCCACAGCACAGCTGATAAGATAACACTGCAGTGAATTTCCTTGGAGTGGGATAGCTGAAAGCAGGGAGCTGTCTGCTAAACAGAAAACACTCGTGGGATTTAATCTTGGTTGGCTCAGGCCTTCTTCTCATGGTGCCAAGGAACACTGCTCAGCACAGGAAGGCTGGCATTTCACCGTGTCCACGTGTGCCCTGTGAATGTGTTACAGGATTTTGGCCCACAGTCACACAAATGATTTTTTTTTTTTAACATATAGAGGGTTTTAGTTTTAAATATAGTCAAGATTTTGTAAAACTAATGTTAACCTAATGCATTCACTCCCCATGGGTTTCTTACTCATTGATGTCCTTCATTAATAGTCCCAGAATTCCTCCCCTCATTAATTAGGCTTCCTGCCTGGAATGTGTCTGTGAAGGCAAGGCTTTTTCTCTCCCTTCTGACCAATTTCAGATGTTTCTGTCTTTCTGGAATTTTCCTCTCTGCTCTGCATGCCACATTCCAGGTCAACCTGCCTGTTGCACTTCACTTCTTCTCTGTGGAAAGCCACATTTTATCATTCTTTAACTGCATTTGTGGTGCTTTGGGCAAATGCCTCTTCAGCTGGAGATCTTCCAAGGTTCCAAGACCTTCCATGGATCTCCCAAAACTTTTGCCTCTACATCTCTCTGTAAAGGCATTGCTTTATGCTTCATGTTGGAGTTTCCAATCCTCAATTTGCCCATTTATCCATCTTTTAAGAGAAATCTCACCGTGGCTACATGGCTTTTACCTCCTGCTCCCATCCATGGTGGAATTGTAGGAATTCCTGCCTCATAAAACCGTGTTGTTTCAGAGGTATTCCTTTTGTGCAGCAGCATGACTCCTGAGGCCTCAGGAAGGCCAGTATTTGGGTGTTAAGATGCTCCTTTCTGATGCAAACCACCTTATTTTGCATTTGTTTGGGTGGTTCTTTAGTTATTTAAATAAGCTGGAACAGCATGGCAAAGGGCATGGAGAGAGAGCTTCCCAGGATAGCTGGTATCAGTGTTTCAGTAAATAATTGGCATATGAAAAACTGTTCCAGCCTTTCTCAGCACTTGCTGTGCAATCTAAAACACTTCAGAGGTGCCGTGGGGAAACTTAGTTGGAAGTCTTGTCTTGTTCCTCTCCCTTGTTTTTAACAGTTTTTATGAAATCACATTAAAAAAAATTCATACTTTGAAGAAAATGTCTATAAAGTTTCTGAATTCTGATACTGTATATTAAACCTCTGGTTTCCTCTGTCTCTAAATCAACAGCTTTTTCATTTTAAAAAGTAATCATTTGTCTGAGGTGATTTACCTTTCCCAAACCTGTGTTGACTTCCCCTATTAGATTGTACCTCTGCCACCGTGTGCCTAAGCTGTCTATAAATATCAGCTAAAATGGGTCTAATATACATGCTAGCTATGAAATTCTCAGCCTCTCTCCCAGCCTTGCCAGATATTGCCGACTTCCTTCAGTAATCACTTCAGACTTCCTAAAAATGCAATATTCAGCTTGAGTAGGTAAATCCCACCCAAGCAGGTCTTTGCCTGCCTTAGGATTTGAGTACATTGAATAATTCCCCACTGAAGTCCCTAACTGCCAGCTAAATCTGCATCTCCTGCCCTCCTTCCATGGGCTCCCTGTGTCTCAGGAACAGGGCACAGCCTGAAGAGCCCTGACCTGACTGCATGTGTTTGTAAAGGGAGTTGCAGCACCTTAAATGAAAGTCAGCATCAATCCTTGAAGTAAAAAATGATCGAAAAAAGGGGTAGTTCAGTGTTTTCCTACATAAAAGCTGTTTCCTTTGAAGTGTTTATAAAAGCCTTTTGTTTTCTGAAATTCAAGCAGAGCTTTTTAATAAGCCATGAGGATTTATACTGTGGCTATCTTTCTTACATTACACCAGAAAACCTGATACATGAATGAAAATCTATCCAAAGCGCTGTGGTTTTTCATCCTTGTACCGAATCACTGTGTTGTAGCACTGGCAGAAGTAATGAAAAGTGCCCAAGTGGCAGCATCCACCGAGTGTCCCTGTTGCCTTTTTTCCTGAAAGCACAGTTCCCCATTCAGGGCCACAGAGCTGGAAGCACTCCGAGCACGTTCCTTCCTCCAAATCCCTCGGGAGGCTGTGGGTGTTCCTTCCTGCTGAAGTGGCAGGCGGTGACAAACTCAGCCTTAGAGTCACTGCAAGGATATTCCTTACATGTCTTCATTGCTCTTCTTTCTTGCTCTTTTCCTCTCAGTCACCACCCCTCTCCCCTCCTGCTCCACCTTTATTGTGGAGGCAGATTGGAGGCATCGCTGTGATTTCATGGCTTTGTTTCCCCAAACTTCTGTTTAAAGCCGTGTTGTGGCCACACGTGCAGTCCATTATTTGTAGATTTATGAACCCCTTTACCTGAGAGCAGCTGTTGTGCCCCAGCCCTTGCCTGGGCATTGGGTGCAGGGCAGCCCCCAGGTGCCACCCTGTCCCTCCTGTTTCAGCCCTGACAACATGGGGCTGCTGGACCCGGCCACCAGCGACGGCAGAGTGATCTTCTTCCTGCCCTGGGAGAAGATGACGATCGCGGGGACCACGGACAGCCCCACGGACGTCACCTCCCACCCCATCCCCACGGAGGAGGACATCAACTTCATCCTGTGCGAAGTGCGCAACTACCTGGGCCCCGACGTGGAAGGTAACCCCAGGCCCTGCTGGGGAGGCTGGGGCATCCCAGCCTGGGGGGAGCCTGCTGCTGCCCGAGGCCGTGCCTGGCACCTGGCTGTGCCACATGCTGAGCGTGCAGGGATGCTGCCCTGCAGCACCACCCACACATCTCCCCAGCTGCCCATCCACCCGCCTCCCTCCAGGGAGGGTGCCCGGGCAGCCATCCTTCCTCCAGAGTGGGGGTTTGGTTTATTTAAATGGTTCTGTGAAAGCATTCCTACTGCTGCGTTTCTGCTGCAGCATTAAAGTGAGTCTGAAAAGCACTCGGGCAGGAGCACTGTAACATAGGTTTAGGAAAACCTGCTCTCTGGGGATGGGAAATGAACAATTCCTCGTTTCCTGAAGTGGAGAATTGATGTCTGCTTGTTGTACGAAGTTCTGACCATGTCCAGGGAAGCTCTTGTTGCGTGTCTGGAGCAGCAGTTGGTGCTGGAACCACAGGAGACCAGGGAGGAAGATGGGAATGTGAATAGGACAGAGATTAGTGGGATACTGGGAAGAAATCCCTGGCTGGGAGGGTGCCCAGAGCAGCTGTGGCTGTACTGGATCCTGGCAGTGCCCAAGGCCAGGCTGGACACTGGGGCTGGAGCAGCTGGGACAGTGGGAGGTGTCAGGGCTGGGATGGGATGAGCCCAAGGTCTGTCCCAAGGCAGGCCATTCCCTGGTTTCCCACGTGTTTTCCAGCAGCACATTCGGAAGTGCTCAGTCTCTGTGGCTCAGCCCAGCCGGGCCCGTGCTGCTTTTCCTGTTCAATTACTGTTTATAGATGGCTGGAGCTGCAATAACAACGGCACTGCCCATATCACCCCTCGACAGCCCTGCCTGTGCTGCCAGAGCCAGTGCCAGGGTTATCAGCTTCCACAGGCTTGGACACCTTCCAGCTGCTTAATTACAGCGTCACGCGTGCTGCTTTCTGTAGTTTCATTAGTTTATAAACCTAATACAGGGTCTTGTGTCTGTGATTAACACTTCATTTTGGCAGGTTGAACACGCTGTTAGAGCACATTGATTTCGGAAATCTATTCCATGTTCTTTGGGGGATGTTTTTTACACCCTTTTAGTGATTTTTCAATTATCGGTCATTTGAAAGTTGTATTAAAAACATGTTCCAAAGACTTCAGTATAAAGCAAATTGGTAACTGCACTTAGGGTGAATGCTGTGGATAAAGATGGCTTGTCAAGAGAAAATCTTGGAATAACAGCTTTCAATCTAGAGAAAAGGCTTGTAAGATCTGAAAGGAAATGTTACACGCGTGTAACAAACTTTTATTTTGGTTTACAAAATGTAATGTAAGGACTGTTCAGGGTCATTGGGAAGAATTTTTGTGGAAAGGAGGGGTCAGGCTGGAGTTGCCCAGGGAGATTTGGAGTCCCTGGAGCTGTGCAGGGAACACCTGGCTGTGGCACTCAGTGCTCTGGGCTGGGACAGGCTGGGCATTGGTACCAGCTGGACTCGATGGCCTGGGAGAGCTTTTCCAACATCACTGGTTCTGGGATTCCATAGCCCAGCTTATCCCCAGCTCTGGGGGTGCTCAGGGCCAAGCAGGGTGTGGGGTGGGAACGGGGCACCCCTGGGCTCGGGCTGGCCGTGCCTGAGGGTGGCTCTGCACAGTGAGAAGAGGAGACGTGCTGGCAGCCTGGAGTGGCATCCGGCCCCTGGTCACCAACCCCGACTCCAAGGACACCCAGTCCTTGTCCCGGAACCACGTCGTGACCATCAGCGACAGCGGCCTCGTCACCATTGCAGGTACCGGGGCTTCCTCCCAACTCCAGCTCTGCTGGGCTTCCCCGGGGCATTCCCTGCACAGATCTTGTTCTGTGGGAATTCTGCTCCTGTGATCGAGCTGCTCTGTCAGTGGCACGGGGATGGCCTGGAGCGAGCCTGGCAGCAGCCGTGTGATAGATGGAGTGCACAGATGTGTCTGGAGGGTGTGGAGGCTGTGCTCCTGCTGCCTGCCCCACCTAACGAGGTGAGCACTGTCCCCCCAGGCGGGAAGTGGACAACCTACCGTGCCATGGCCCGGGACACCATCGACGCGGCCGTGCGCGAGCACGGGCTGCAGGCAGGCTCCTGCAGAACCATGGGGCTGCAGCTGGAGGGGGCCCAGGACTGGAGCCCCACGCTCTACATCCGACTGGTCCAGGACTACGGGCTGGAGAGCGAGGTGAGTGCTGCCTCCTGCCTTGGAGGGCTTTGGTGTCCCCTCTGTCAAACACCAGAATAACTTGGGCAAGGTCTGGTGAGCCCCATCAGAGCTGGGGCAGAGATAGTTCTAACAGAAATAAAGGTAGTAATTGTCCATCGTCTTCACCCTTTTTCTTCCTCCATATCTTGACTGTTTCCTGCTAAAAGTGCTGTGACTTGCCAGGGCCTGTGGTCCCTGGAGCCCCCCGAGCTGTGCAGCAGCGTGGTCACCGTGTGGCAGGAGAGCTGGGCTGTCAGGCCTGGTGGCACAGACACAGCGGGGCAGTGCTGGTCCAGCCTCCCGGAGCACAGAGCTTCCTCCCACACTGGCACACTCCAGCACCCTTGGCAGCCTGCTTGTTACTGGGGATGAGGGAATGGTCAAGGAAAATGTGTCCTTTGTGTGCTCTCAAAGCATGCTGGATTTGTTTTCCTCTCCACAGGTGGCTCAGCACCTGGCTTCCACCTACGGGGACAAGGCTTTTGAGGTGGCCAAAATAGCCCAGGTGACGGGGAAGAGGTGGCCCATTGTTGGGAAACGTCTGGTATCTGAATTTCCTTACATCGAGGCTGAGGTACGTGGGGAAACCATGTCACCTTCTGTGACTGTGTCCTTGGGACCAGCAGCTCGGCGGCTCCAAAACATCTCCTTGAGCCCTTTCCTTTGGGGAGGCCAAGGTATTTTCTGTGCCTGTACCCAGAGCACGCTTCGTGTATCGATATACACACACATTAACATACTTTATACACACATTAACATACTTATGCACAAGTCAGTGTTTATCCAGCGCCTGTTTTTTACTTCATGCACGAGCGCTCGGCCCCGGCTGGGATCTGTAAAATGTCCCAAGGAAAGGCAGCGCTGCCAGCCTTGCTGTGGGCTGTGGGAGCCAGCCCTGCCGTGGGCTGTGGGCTGTGGGGTGCCAGCCTTGCTGTGGGGTGTGGGCTGTGGGTGCTAGCCATGCTCTGGGCTGTGGGTGCCAGCCCTGCTGTGGGTGCCAGCCCTGCCATGGGCTGTGGTGCCAGCCCTGTCATGGGGTGTGGACTGTGGGGTGCCAGCCCTCCTGTGGGGTGTGGGCTGTGGGTGCCAGCCATGCTCTGGGCTGTGGGTGCCAGCCCTGCTGTGGGTGCCAGCCCTGCCGTGGGCTGTGGTGCCAGCCCTGCCATGGGTGTGGAGCCAGCCATGCCGTGGGGTGTGAATGCCAGCCCTGCCGTGGGCTGTGGGTGCCAGCCCTGCTGTGGGTGCCAGCCATGCTCTGGGCTGTGGGTGCCAGCCCTGCCGTGGGCTGTGGTGCCAGCCATGCTCTGGGCTGTGGGTACCAGCCATGCTCTGGTGCCAGCCGTGCCGTGGGTGTGGTGCCAGCCCCGTGCCCCCTGCCCCCAGGTGGTGTACGGGGTGCGGGAGTACGCGCGCACGGCCGTGGACATCATCTCGCGGCGCACCCGCCTGGCCTTCCTCAACGTGCAGGCGGCCGACGAGGCCCTGCCCCGCATCGTGGACATCATGGGCAAGGAGCTCGGCTGGTGCGAGCAGAAGAAGAAGGTACCGAGGGCCCTGTCCCGCTGCAGCTGCTGTGCTGTGCCTGGGGAGCTCCCTGCTCCAGGTCCCAGCTGGCTGAATGGAGAACTGCAAGCGGTTTTATTCCCGGCAGAACGAGTCACTGGGTGCATCTCATTCTAAAGACTTTATCTGTGAAATGGGTTGGGATTGGCCAGGGGTGGAGGGGAAGGGGAAGATCTGTATCCTCTTGCTCCCCAGCCATAGAAGTGAAAGCAGGCTTGGCATTGCTGTCTCATTCCTGTCAGTTATTTTGCTTTACTGACACTTTTCAACAGATCTCCCTCAGCAAAGGAAGCTCCTGTAACCATAAAGAACCTGCCTGGTGTTGAGCTCCCTGGCTTTGGGCATCATCACACTAAGATATCAAGTGGGAGAGAAATGACAGCTTGTAGGCCTGGCCTGAAAAGGCCATTTCTTCCTGAAAGGGGCAGACAGACCATGTGTGACTGAAAGTGTGGATGCTCCTGAAAGCATTTATACAGAAATTAGAAGCCTTTACTAGCCTGAATACCTTTTTCCAAGGGTAAAAAGTGCCTAAGTTTAACTTTTTGATATTTCTCAGCTGCCATCTGTTTAATTTTGTGACCTTAGAAGAAGAACCAAATAGTACAGTGTAAAACAATAAATACTTGTGTGAGAACTTGCTATTGCTCAGATTCTCAGGTTTTGTGTTTCCATTGTAGGAAGAGCTTGAAACGGCTAAAACATTCCTGTACTATGAGATGGGCTACAAGGTGAAAACAGATCAGTTAACAGATCAGTCTGAGATCAGCCTGGTGCCTTCGGATATCGAGAGGTGAGTGAGGCAGGAGGTGCCCGAGCTGCTGTCCCTGCAGCCACGGTGCCCTGACATGCCACCCCTCCCTGGCAGGTACAAGAAGCGCTTCCGCATGTTTGACAAGGACAAGAAGGGCTTCATCACCATCCTGGACGTGCAGCGCGTGCTGCAGGTGAGCTGCCCCTGCTGCTGGCTGCTCTGGAGCTGCCCGGGGCAGGGGTGAGGCTGCTGAG